AATACAATTTAAAGACTAGCTTTTAAATCTATATATAATATTATAAAGAGGAAAGATTTGTTTGTTTGTTTCGAATAGGCTCCGAAACTACTGGACCGATTTGAAAAATTCTTTTTCCATTAGAAGCCGACATTGTCCCTGATGAACATAGGCTACTTTTTTTTTATTTTTTTTTATTTTATTTTTTTGGTTTCATGTGTGTTTTAATGTTTCCGAAGCGAAGCGAGGGCGGGTCGCTAGTTATATATAAGTTAATTATAGACGTTGGTGTGTTGAAATTAATGTTTATAAATATATTTTTGTAATTATGTGTCTGTCATTTACGTAAATGACAGAAGATCCTTTTGTTCTCAAATCGTTTTCTTTCACAATAGCATTAGCACGAACACAAAGAAAATGCGTTAATATTTCGTAGTAATCTCATATTACTATGTTAATTATCAATATATTATTTATACCAATTGTTACTAATATTGTAAATGTTAATGTGTATTTCTTTGTTTGTTTGATTGTAGTGGTTTTTTTTTTTTAAAAGCGATCGTTTTAGATCATGCTAGTGACATATTTAACTTTTATCCCGAATGAACATCTCGTTCCCTCGGGTAATTGTTTATACTAGAGGTCCCGCAGTAGTCGAAATATCGACTATACTTAATTGGAATTGTAAATTTGTACACTATTATGATTGTATTTTATACTTCTATAATTACAAATTTTTCCAAGACTACACTATAAAAAATATTAACAAAGACAAACAATATTTAATCTATTCTCAAATTGACAACAGACGTCAAGAACAAAAGTTTGACAATAAATAGTATGCATGCGTGTGTGCGTCAAATACATGGTATCTAGTGTGTGTAATGTTTTCTTTATTGATTTAATGTATCTTTTATGCATTATTTTAAAAAAATATTACCATTGTGCACTTCTTCTCTATATTCTCTATAAGTGTCGAAAATTTCATACTCCTCCGTCCGCGCAATTTTCGTAAAAAGGGATACAAAGTTTTTGCTTCACGTATTAATATATAGATTATCATTAGATAAAACTAGCTGTTCCCGTCCGCTTCGCTGGGCATTTAAAATTCACATTATTATTTCTCACCCCCACAAAGATTCTCATCATTGACGTCCCCGCAACTGGTGTAGGGAGTCCAACACTCATATAAATATTAGCATATCCATTAAGTACATGTGTTTTCTACATGGATACCAAGTTTCAAGTCATCGGATGCATGGTGCAGTAGTAATAACGGAACATCCGTAAAAACCACTGTAGATTTATATATTAATATAGACTACTGTGGGACCCCACAGTAGTCTAAATTCGACTATAATTAATTGAAATTATAAGTTTGTACATTATTATGGCTCTATTGTCAAAGACTTTTGCCAAGACTACACTATAGACAAATAATAATAAAGATAAACAATATGAACCTATTCTCAATTTGACCACAGACTATAAACAATAAGAAAAGTTTGACAATAAACAAAGAGTATATGCGTGCGTGTCAACTGTCAAATACACAGTAGTGTGCGTAATGTTTTTTTTTTGTTGATTTAATGTACATATTATTAATGCATAATTAAAAACAATTTTAGCATTCTGCTATCCTTCTCTATATTGTTTATAAATGTGGGAAGTTTCATACTCCTCCGTCCGCGTAATTTTCGTAAAAAGGGATACATAGTTTTTTGCTTCACGTATTAATATATAGATTATCCGCACTTTTCATTGACCATCCGGGCGAAGTCGCAGGTAACAGCTATCTATAAGTAGTTAATTATATTGAATCTCGACCGTGATTAGCCATGATTCGTAATGGTGTCAGCTGTACGGCTTAGAACTAGTAGCGCATTACTTGTGACGTATTGTTGGTACTGATAGAAAGTTTTACTCAATCGCTCATAGATAGACACAGCCCACTGAGTTTCTCGCCGGATCTTCTCAGTGGGTTGCGATTCCGATCCGGTAGTAGATTCTGTGAAGCACTGCTCTTGCTAAGGTTAGTGTCAGTAATTTTTTTTTATTGCTTTGATGGTTGGACGATCTCACAGCCCACCTGGTGTTAAGTGGTTACTGGAGCCCATAGACATCTACAACGTAAATGCGCCACCCTTCAAACCGAAACGCATTACTGCTTTACGGCAGAAATAGTCAGGGCGGTGGTACCTACCCGCGCGGACTCACAATAGGTCCTACCACCAGTGATTACGCAAATCATAATTTTGCGGGTTCGATTTTTATACACGATGTTATTCCTTCACCGTGGAAGTCAATCGTGAACATTCGTTGAGTACGTATTTCATTAGAAAAATTGGTACCCGCCTGAGATTCGAACACCCGTTCCATCGCTCAATACGAATGCACCGGACGTCTTATCCTTTAGGCCACGACGACTTCGCTTGCTCGAAATTCGCTCAGGTTGAGCCCGTGAGCTCACCGTCCGCGTGAAACTGGAACAGCCCCTTAGGTTACCAGCGTATAGGATAGGGATAAAGTACTCAATCTGATTAATAGCGCCGTTCGAAGCCAGTGTTGTCCAGCAGACCAACACGACAGTGTCGTGTCATACATACAGGAGAGCCAATTATTTAAAGTTTAAAATTTGGAAAATTTAACACAACAAAAAACTTCTTCAGATATTTGAATAGGGTAAACTTAATTGATGGTCAATTAAAAAAAAAATCGAATTCTTGATACTAAACCCAAATAAAACCGACCTTTAATTACAAACATAAATGTCGATATACAATAAAAAAAAAAAAAAGACGTCAGCAAATAAAGTATAATCAATGTAGCCGATGGTAATTAAATATTATGGTTTATTTTAAACACAAATATGCTTAAAGATTAAAAAAAAAACAGACGTCATCAAGTAAAATGAGGTATCATCAATGTAGTCAATGTTAATTAAATATTCTATAAAAATAAAATTTATACTAGTGGTAGGGCCTCTTGTGAGACCGGACGAGCTCACAGCCCATCAGTTAAGTGGTTACTGGAGCCCATAGACATCTACAACGTAAATGCGCCACCCACCTTGAGAGATATAAGTTCTAACGTCTCAGTATAGTTACAACGGCTGCCTCACCCTTTAAACCGAAACGCGTTACTGCTTCACGGCAGAAATAGGTTGGGTGGTGGTACCTATACATGCCTTAAAGGCACCAAAGAAACGCATGCACTAAAGCACGGCGTGATCACGAGTGTTCACGGTATCGCTTGATGACGCTCATTCCACTTGCAAGTTGCGGCTGCGTCACGGTCGGAGGCACATAGAAAGTTCCCCGGTAACGTTGCCAGTTCGGCCGCAGTTGCCCCGTCTGTCACCGTTCAGAGACTGTCTCAAAGTCCGTCAAAAGAAGCGTTACAAAACCGAACGAATGACATTGAACGCAACTCCGCGAAACGCTTGAAATATTTTCAATTTTTTACGACCGCCACGCGATGACCTTTCAGTTACCTTTTGACGTTTTTTACTGGTGGTAGGACCTTTTGTGAGTCCGCGCGGGTAGGTACCACCGCCCTGCCTGTTTCTGCCGTGAAGCAGTAAAGCCTTTACTCTCGATTGTTACCTCGCTTACCAATAAAACTAGCTCGTATCTAAGTTAGACAAAGCAACAAGAACTTTACTGGTGGTAGGACCTCTTGTGAGTTCGCGCGGGTAGGTACCACCTATTTCTGCCGTGAAGCAGTAATGCGTTTCGGTTTGAAGGGTGGGGCAGCCGTTGTAACTATACTGAGATCTTAGAACTTATATCTCAAGGTGGGTAGCACATTTACGTTGTAGATGTCCATGGGCTCCAGTAACCACTTAACACCAGGGTGGGCTGTGAGCTCGTCCACCCATCTAAGCAATAAGAAAAAAAAAGTTAAATCTGGCAGACGGTCCGAATCACGTGAAGTGGTACACGGTACACGATTGTCGGCACGGCTGCGAATTTAAATGAAATATTATGTATTAGTTTTAACCGACTTCGAAAAAGGTTTACTGGTGGTAGGACCTCTTGTGAGTATTTACAAATAAAGGGCACACACGACTTTGCAACAACTATACACAACTAGATTTATCGAATAGTAATTACTTGTAGTGACGCTGATGTTGAATAATTCAGGTCAAGTATCGAGGGTAATACTATGTAGGATGGTAAACGTTGAAGATGCCCGGAATCTGTGAAATGATAATTTGAGGAAATCTTATTTTAATTGCTGTAGTTTAGGTTCCGTACAGACACGTACTTTTTCTTCGCTCATAAGGAACTCTACGAATTTCGGATCTAGGACATAATCTAGCGTGTAATTTATCGAACTTAAATGGATGGAGTCTGTGAATGACGATATGAGAGAGAGAGAGAGAGGAGTGAGTGTTGAGATGACGGCTGATAGAAGAGAATGGAAGAGAAAAATCCGCTATGCCGACCTCACCTAGTGCGATAAGGCAGAGAAAAAAGAAGAAATATATAGGATGATTCAGTCGAATCTGGTCTGGTCGATCAATTGACAGGAATTTCGCCGTCACAATGAAAGAGCCCGTGAGCCCATGAGCTCACCCGTCCGGGCGTAGGTGAAATAGTCCCTTAAGCCACCAGCTAATGGGTAGGGGAAAAGAACAATAATAACACGCCTGTATCGATTATGCCCATAATCTGCTTTGTCTTAATTTCGAAGACATGTGGATCCGAGAAATAAACTCAGAAAAACTGAATATATTAACCTATTTTCATTGGAAACTCTGGATAGTGAAAGAAATTTGTTTCTAAATACGTTAACGGTAGGCAGCGGCTTGGCTCTGCCCCTGGCATTGCTGAAGTCCATGGGCGACGGTAACAACTCACCATCAGGTGGGCCATATGCTCGTCTGCCTATTTTTTTTTTGTATTTGTCAATTTTGTTGAGAAATTCAACAGCTTTAGTTTTAAAACCTCACTTACGTTATTGTATTATTATGTTGTTTTATGCTGTACTGATTTAGTGCGTATGTTTGTCCATAGGAGGTGACAGATGAGAGCGACGGATGCGGCGCCAAGTTTTCTGTTCTCATAGTGTCGGACAAGTTCAAAGGGAAACCTCTTCTTGCCAGGCATAGGTGAGTGTATTTTTTTAGGCTATTGCATAGCTTTCATCGCGGGCTCTGAGCGCGGCGACCGAATCAAGAAATTCCGTAACGAAAACAAAACCTAACACCTCTCACTTCGCCTACAATGTAGTTCGCGCTCAACACATTCACATGTTGCGCTTGTGTAGTGTTTGTGAATAAGCGCGCGGCGTGACGTCGCACTGCATGCGCATCATGAAAAGTCTACCCATCTCTCTCTCGCGCGGTCTAGCTTATGAGTGTGAAGGAGACAAATGTTTTGCTTTTGTTAATGTTTATAAATATAGCGTGGTCTTATTTCATTCTTGTTTTAATATTAAATTATTACTGTCTAATTATAATTGCATAAGTTTATAAAAAAATGCTATGCAATAGCTTTACCGCGGCAGTCCCCGAGTGCCACACGTGTTTTTTTCTATCAAAATATTTTACATACCTATACCGTAATGTATCAAATTCAATTTCAAAATCATTTATTTCAACTTGGATGTCATCAAAAACACACTTGTTGAATGTCAAAATGTAAAAGAAAATGTTAACTCTACCACCGGTTCCAAGAAAAGCCACCGTCCTGAGAAGAACCGGCGAAACAAACTCAGCGGGCTTTTTTTTTTTGGATTATATCAAATATTTTCTTTTTTTTTTTAAATAAGAAAACATATTTACAGTATACGAAGAAACAAGTCAAAAAAATACAATTCAAATAAATAATAATAATGAAAAATGAAAAGGCCAGGAGCGAACGCCTCATTCCCACGTAGTGCCATCTAGTAAAAAATCCTTAACTTTATAATATGCCTTGTTGCACAAACGTTCCTTGACAGTTTTCTTAAATCTATGAACAGGTAGTAGTTGAATGTTTTGTGGGATCTTGTTGAAAAGTTGTACAACCAGCCCCCTGAAAGCGTTGCTTATTTTCTTAATTCGAGCCGCCGGCAACGCAAGCCTATGTTTGTTCCTAGTGTTCACATTATGCAAATCGCAGACTCTGGGGAATTCTACAATGTTTTTACGCACGTACAATAAATTTTCAAAAATGTATTGGGACGCTAAAGTTAGAATTTTGATTTCCTTAAACTTGTCCCTCAAGGATTCCCTCGGGTGCATATTATAAATAGCACGAATAGCCCTCTTCTGCAGGATGAAAATCGTTTCGACATCGGCAGCATTGCCCCATAGCAAAATGCCATAGGACATAACACTATGAAAATAACTGAAATAAACTAGACGTGCCGTATCTTCATCAGTATACGTTCGTATTTTTTTTCCGCAAACGCTGCTATCATTCTCGTACTTCAGATATATTCAAAACAAACAAGCAAATTCAACGAAATTTTTGTTATCAATAGAAAAATATCGATGATATTATTATATCGATACAACATTAGCACGGTAGTTAGATAAAATATTGAAAAGTCGTCGAATATAGCAAGCACCTTAGTTATGCGTGACCACGAAAACTGTCCGAGCTAATATCGAGGAGTGAAATTGCTATTATGTTTAAGCGGCATTTTTGCAAATTCACAGGAGAGCCATTTAAAGATTAAAATTTGGAAATATATTCGTAACAAGAAACTTGTTCAGCTATTATTTCAATGGGGTAAGCTTAATTGGAGTTCAAATTAAAAACATCCAATTGTTGATGCTGTAAGACCAAATAAAACGCATCGGTAATCACTACATAGTATAAAACAAAGTCGCTTTCTCTGTCCCTATATCTGTCTGTCCCTATGTATGCTTAAATCTTCAAAACTTCGTAACGGATTTTGGTGCGGTTTTTCTTAATAGATAGAGTGATTGAAGAGGAAGTTTTATATGTATAATAACATCTATAAAATAGTGGAGAAATCAATAATAAATTACAGTTTCCGAAGCGAAGCAAGGGCGGGTCGCTAGTTACAAAGATAAATGTCGCTTATTAAGCGAAATGTCGCTTAAACTAATAGCCTTTCTTTCACTCTTTGATATAATGACAATAAAAAACGCAAGATTAAACCGTTAAAAACACATGCAAGTGATTTTAAAAGACAGTTTTCACAATCACACAGATCACGCCATTAATCGATCAATTCGTCCGCCCCAAGAATCTAAAGAGTTATTAATTATTTAACCCTTTGAGCGCGAACTGTCGATATATCGACTCTCTATTAATGCGTATAAAGTGCGGAGCGTCTGAATAGCGACTGTTACGCAGTTCGATTATAGGTATTAGGTATCGACCTGTACGGACGTGTCTTAGCACACGCACGCATAACATTTTTAAGTTAATAAATAACCATAATTTTTTTTATTGCTTAGATGGGTGGACGAGCTCACAGCCCACCTGGTGTTAAGTGGTTACTGGAGCCCATAGACATCTACAACGTAAATGCGCCACCTACCTTGAGATACAAGTTCTAAGATCTCAGTATAGTTACAACGGCTGCTCCACCCTTCAAACCGAAACGCATTACTGCTTCACGGCAGAAATAGGCGGAGCGGTGGTACCTACCCGTGCGGACTCACAAGAGGTCCTACCACCGGTTCAAATTATTTTGCTGTGAATTTAGCATTGATTTTTGTATTATCATTTTTTTAATTAAAGTTTTATATACCGCTTTTTTTTTAAAATCCTTTAGCTGTTTCTGCGAAATATGTGACAATAATCTCAGCACTAAAAAGGCTTAAAAGAAGCGACACCTATCTCTGTTTCTATCTACATAACCATTTTGAATACAAATAATGTTAATGTATAATCAAACATCATGAGCAAACTAGCCTTGAACGTATGACGTATTACCTGAGCTATTTTAAAAGCCAACAGCTCTAGCGTGCCGCGTTCGCCGATGGGACCTCAGACGTGATTGGAATTAACATGACCCTACTTTAATTATACAATACATTGCAATTGCAATACTATAAAAGCCGGTATCGATGGCCTATTCTAGGACTGTACGATATCAAGCCGACGACTGACTCCTACTGAAGCCACTGACGAACTGATATGCTGAGATACGCGAGACAGAGACGAGACATGATCTAATTAAACTACACTATAGATAGAATCATTCGTTTGATTGTCCACAGCAATTATATCTGCTAATACATCCTGAAAACTCAAAGGATGCGTTGTAATAAATAAAAAAACCCAAAACTAACTGGTATTCCCAAGAAAAATAGACTGGAATGGGCTGAAACTTTTTATTTTATTTATTGCTTAGATGGGTGGACGATCTCACAGCCAACCTGGTGTTAAGTGGTTACTGGAGCCCATAGACATCTACAACGTAAATGCGCCACCCACCTTGAGATACAAGTTCTAAGATCTCAGTATAATTACAACGGCGGTCCCTCCCTTCAAACCAAAACGCATTACTGCTTCACGGCAGAAATAGGCGGGGTGGTGGTATCTACCCGCGCGGACTCACAAGAGGTCCTACCACCAAAAATATAAATAATATGCGAGTTTTCAAGAGCAAAATTCAGACCAATTTCGGTCTTCGAGTATCGATCGACGTATTCGAAGACTGCACGAGACCCTAATAAGAGATTGCCTAAAAATCGTGCGACGAGACGCACATTTAAAGATTCATGAATCGTAAATTGTAATGACCTGTCGGAAATACTTCACGTGGTGATCACAGCGTGAGCTATTCCGGGGCGGCTCTCGCTGTCGTTGACGCGTTCATGGTTCATTTGACGCGGACTGTGAACCGATAAAATCGGTCACGACCCGCGCTGGTTAGGCGTGTCAAATTCACAACCAAGCAGGGCTCCAACTAGTTCTCGTTCTCGGTCTTCACGCGTACACGGACCGGCTGTGATAGGTCTCCGGTCAAATGAAGCGACAAAAGGAGTCGGCGAACGAGCGACGGAAAAGCCTACGTTCACTAGTAGACCAAACGTGGGCTGATTTATAGGCCTGTGATACCAATTGTAGCTTAAACTAAAATCGAAAGCTTAATCGGTCACTGGCGATCAATTCGTAATTTCAATTATGATTAACTATGGTTAAACTAATTCAAACCATCTCAAAGCTTCAGCTATCACGAGAGAGCAGTCAAACCATGAAACTGGGTTTGGTTTGTTCATTTCAAAATGGCCGCTCGAAGTCAAGAGCTGTTGTCATCACACCACAATCACATCACATCACAATCAGTAAATAGAGATATCTATAAATTCATGTCCGAAACTGCAGCATGAAAGGCTCCTCAAGTAAATTGAAACATTGATTGTTTGAATTCTTTAGCTAGCTCGGACCAAGTTTGCTCCTTGATCTGATTATTTACATTAGCTTTTTTTTCCAATTCATTCAGTTTCATAAAATTTTGTTAATAACCATATTGCCTCACTAAACTTAATAACAATTGGATTTGCGATTAAAAATAATTGAGAATGCATGTTCAACAATATCTTTATCCAAATACGATTCATCTGTCATTTATACTGTAAAATACTTTCAACTTGGGGCCTGATTAATAAAAAGAATTAATGGAACACAAAATGTTGCCATACGTCAAAACATCATCTCAGTTTAGCTTAGCTATATTGGTTTTCATATTGAAATTACGAATTTAATAATTTATGGATCAAATTAGAACTAAGGTTTTTTTTGTATTTGATTTAAACACCGATTGATATTGCCTTGGATGATGCAACATGAGTTTGAGGGTTTTATGGCGTGCTTATACACGTTACGTGTGCGTTTACAAATGTTGAGTTTTTCACTCGAGACTCACTCAGACTCACTGATAGAATAAGTTAATTAGCAAAGAAAAACACAAGAGATAAAGAGATGGCAGTCTTAAATAATTAAACACGTATACTGACACTAAATCAGACGTTTCAAAAACAAAAACCCTAATTATTTAAAATCTGTTGAGCTGAGAATATCTGTAATTTCTTACACGCACACTCTCTCTCTCATTTTCGCGAATTATTTAAACAGATATCGTCTTAAAACAGTCATATCTGTCGTAACATCTGTTCTGTATGTTACAGCACGTAATTAATCCTTACGAATATTTTATAAATAAAACTGTTTTATAACATTGGCATTGTTCCAATCGTTGCGAATAAACTTACTATCGTTTATAGCTAAAATGAAAATGTAAACAAATAAATGAACACAAAGACAATAAAAGACGAACAGATGTAAATATTGCATATTTTTCTAAAGCGACCCATTGCTAGTGTATTCAGCCGGCAATGGAATCGCTAATAAACTACCCACCGATTTCAAAACATTATATGTAGGACTTTTTGGCGGGAACGCGAGGAGTGAAGTTTTGTAATTTGTTTTATTTTGTCTCTTTAGTGTTTCTTCAGGTTTAAATGTGTAATAACGGTGGTTTATTAACTGTTTAATAACCGTGAAAGTGCACAAACGTGGGAAAATGAAACTAAGCCGCTGGACGTAACTTCTCGGGAACCTCCAAAAAGTCCACTGAAAAAATCTCAGTACCTGACCACCATTTTACTGAGATTATATTTCATCCCAGTTGATTAATATCTCAAATTAATCATCTTTATTTCATTCCATTTCACTCCATATTATCATTTTTCATGAAAATAAGGATATAAATTAAAATAAGACATGACTTAAAGGTCCTAGTTACCAGGTCATAAAATCCTTGAAAAAAAAAAACACATCGGCTGTTTGCGCTAGAAAAAATACAATGTAATTAACATCAGTATAATAGTCGGCAAACTTCTTGAGCATTTGTTGACGTAGTGGGGGTAAGTTTGCACATGGTACACTCACGTGCAAAAACATTATTTACTCTGCGTCATAATGCAATTAAATTATTAAAATCAACATATGTATTTATTTATATATTTATGAGAACATCAACAAAAAATATAGGTAAAAAATTGTAATAATTTTATCTTGGGGTAAAATAGATATTCCTTCTATTAGTCAAAACTAGAGCTGTTGCCAGGTCTTGGTTCAGTTGAAGCGAAGCTGGTATTTGCAATTTTTTTTTCGTTATTATAATCTTGACCATCAAATTATATTTTGAAGATATTCGATTCGTAGTAATCAAATGTAACTTTTTTCAATTACCAGCTTTCGATTATTTTCTGTTTTTTTTCCATCTGAAGCCTAGCTCTTTCAGAATTCGTCGTAAACTTCATACCGAGCCATTAAAATTTATATCTTCTTTTAATTTTTCGAAGCCTTTCTACGGTACGGAGTTTCGCTGCTTGTTATGTAGTTATTATTACATCTTTTGATTACAGATGGAATGAAACTATCCATTCCGGTAACTTTCTTCTTCCTTGATCTTTTCTTACCCGGAGTCCGAAACACGGCGAGCAAGCCAGAGCCTTTAGCTTCGTTAATAATGCACCTAACAGTACTCACGGATGTTTTATAATGAAGCAATATACGTCGTACACAATTTTTCTACCCTTTCTTTTGAATACTACACCAGTTTTTCGCGGCANTTTTTTCCTCTTGCCACACAATTGTGTTTCTTGTTTTTTTTTTTTTTCAAAATATCGATCAACAAAAGAGATCCAATATTCTAATTGGGGTGAAAACGTCAAACGCGTACATACGTCGCGAAAATAAACAATTTTAAGAATAAAACAGATCAAAACGATAAAAGTACAATGGGTATTTGTTATTTAAAATAACCGATGCAATCGCAAGACCAGATTTACACAATAAAGACCATATTATGAGGGCTGAAGCATTTAAAATCGTCCTTTCGCAGATTGGTGAACACATTGCTTCAAGAGGAACTGAAGACAATCCACGCATTCACCCAGAAAACCTTAACTGTTGATCAGTGGAAGACACAATAATGTATACTATTTAATACAATGCAGTAGTCGAAATCTATTAGTTTTTTATTGTTCATTATACCTTGCTTAAGATCTAGTCAATTTCGCGTGTGCTTATTACATTAAAAGGACAATGTTGACGGCCGTCGATAATTTGTTTACCGTGAGTGTTTCCGCGCCCGGGAAAGTCATTTTGCATGGAGAGCATTCGGTCGTGTACGGGAAAACTGCGATCGCTGTCAGCCTCGGCCTAAGGAGCTCCATAGTGATAAAGGTATTTTTCATGAAGTCTTTCTTCTTTTATTTTATAGACGTGTGAAAAAAATTTTGGGTTCACATATCGCACCTATAGAATTATAAAGACCCAACTAGAAAAAGGGGTTTTTTGGAAAACATCAAAGTTCTCAAAGCGAAAAAAAGTAGAGGAAGGGGACGGAGTGAAAGAGACCGATGGATAGCTTTGTTATAAGCTACTTCTGGTCATTTGATTACTTAAAGTCGTTTAAAAGGGTCGTTCTAGTTCCATTTTTGAATTAAAGACGAAATCCAAATATTTCAAAATGAGTCTCTATAATTTTAAAGGTGCGATATGGTGCTTTGTGGTTACCGGAGTTCGTAGACGTCACAAGGTAAATGGCGCCATATAACTGAAGACACAAGGTCGAAGTCGCAATTGTAATGTAGATTGGCTGTCGCTACCTTTTCAAACAGGAACGAATGGCTACTTCGTGGCAGGAATAAGCAAGATAACATACTTATCAGGACTTACCTACCATAAGTACAATTGTGGATTTGTTTTAAAGGTAGCATTTCTGTTGGTGGATAAATCAGTATTTACAAGATTAATTCGGAATATGTTTTTTTACCCAAAAAGCCGTCTAATCTAATAGATCATTTCTTCTCTTTTACTGACAGTTCTGATATGTTTGAACTACTGGAAACTTTTTTTTATGTCCTTGTAGACTGAAAACCATATTGCTCGCCTGATGGTGAGTGGTTACCGTGGCCCATGGATTTCAGCAACGCCAGGGGCAGAGCCAAGCCGTTGCCTACCGTGAATACGAATTGAACCTATTTGAATTGATTTGAAAATTAGTTATAAAGTTCTTTAATTAATGATTATGTGAATCTAATGTCGCGATAGTGATATATCCAGGCGGCCATTTACGAATAGATTTCGCCCAAAAGCACCCATAGATATAGGAAGGACGTAAGGTGTTGGAATGGCTGTGAAGGCCTTGAATTGTTGAAATGAACAAAAATAAGTCAATTGGTGTCAATACGATCGTTTAATTCAATGGATAGGTAATGAATATTAAATGCATGTGGTGGCCATCAGACTGCAGTCGAGTTCACAAATGCTCATTAATTTCACCTTGTTGTTATTTAATCACTTGTGACATAAGGACTTGGTCATGAATACGTTGGAATTTTTCTTCATCAATGGCTGATGCAAAATTTTAGTTTGGTAATAGTCTAAGATTGCGTATCTCATCATTCCGTTATTTATGTTTCTCGCAATTTCGCAGGAAGTAAACACTCCACACGAACCAGCAGTCCACATACATTTGCCGTGCGTGGATCTACAGGAGACCATTCCATTGGAGCCGACAGTCAAAAGTCTGTTCCATCCTAAACTGGCACCAGGGATAACCGGCAAATTCTCTTGGAGATTACCCCACAAAATCGACCATGACTATCACTTGCGAAGGGTGGAGGAATACCTGCATTTGATCAAGCCTAACTTTGACTCGTTGCCCAACAATCAAAAGAATTCCTTGCGTAGTTTCCTATACGTGTTTTCCGGGATTTTCGGTAGCACATATCTACCGGTAAAGTCTATGGATATTTCGATGGGATCTGAGCTCACCATTGGCGCGGGTACTGGCAGTTCGGCGTCTTTTGCCGTCTGTCTAGCAGGAGCATTGATACAGCTGTTGAAATTGAAGAGTTCTTCGGGGAATTTCGATGCATATTACGATCAGAGCAGCCAAGATTTTACGGATACCGAAAAGGAGATTATATCGGAATGGGCCTTCAATTGTGAGAAGATAATGCACGGAACTCCTTCAGGTATGTAACATTATGGTCTTTTTTGGCGTTAAGCTCTGGCACTGTCACACCGATTTTCCATCAAAAGAGTTAACTAAAATCTGAGTTTTTCGTTTCGATTATAACTAGTGATCCCGCCGTAGTCGAAATTCGACTATAATTAATTGGAATAGTAAGTTTGTACACTATTATGATTGTATTTTATACTTCTATAATCACAAATTTCGCCAAGACTACATACACTATAAAAAATATTAAGAAATACAAACAATATTTAATCTATTCTCAATTTGACAACAGACGTCAAGAACAAAAGCTTGGCAATAAATAGTATGCATACGTGTGTGCGTCAAATACATGATGTGTAGTGTGCGTAATGTTTTCTTTATTGATATAATGTATCTTTTATGCATTATTTAAAAAAAAAATTAGCATTGTGCACTTCGTCTCTATATTCTCTATAAGTGTGGAAAATTTCATACTCCTCCGTCCGCGCAATTTTCGTAAAAAGGGATACAAAGTTTTTCCTTCACGTATTAATTATATAGATAAAGCGTTGTTAGTTCGAAATTATTTGAAGCATACACGCTCAATGTTTGTATATTAAACATAATCACAATGATCAGTTCAATGTAACGATGTCAAGGTCTCCGGATGACGTTCCCATCAGGGGTCATTGCCGGATCGCTTCCATTTGAAATGTCATCAATTAGAAAGTCAATGCCTTAATATGAACGACCTCGGAACTGACGGGGACGTCTCGATATAATTCTATAGAGCATTAGAAACTCGGCTTACGATAAAATGTGAAAGTTTCGTTAATTCACTTTCGCGTATCTTATACCTTTAAACGAGCAATTCTTGTATATATATATAATCTGACTCTCGGAAACGGCTCCAACCATTTTCATAAAATTTAGTATACCGGGGATTTCGGGGGCGATAAATCGATCTAGCTACGATTTATTTTCAGAAAATGTTGTTTTATTCGTGTTTTCAATAATCAACTCTTCCCGACATCTATTGGCGAATAATAAGACTATTTTTCTTAATTGAGGGCAACTAACCGCTTTAAAGACAACAAGATGGCGTTATCAAAAAAAAACCTATCATCATCCAGTTATGTTTATCCTAAAACAGACTAGTGTAGTTTATGATATCGTATGCCGAAACAACCCAAAAATACGACTTACGACCGCGGAACTACTACAGCGANTATCCTAAAACAGACTAGTGTAGTTTATGATATCGTATGCCGAAACAACCCAAAAATACGACTTACGACCGCGGAACTACCACAGCGATCAGATATGCGTATCGTCCGGGATTGTACTAGACAACTTTGGGGAATATACGACAAAGGCAAGATCTTCCACAGAGCGGGTGTAATCTCTCAATAGACCGACGATCCGAATATTACTGTTCGGAGCTTTTACAGTAGATTGGAGGGAATAAAGTCTAGAGTTAGAATAGGGACAAATCTGGTAAACGAGGTAATAATTGAGAGTAAAGGCTTTACAGTAGCCCCTTTTTTGAGACAAGGCGTCTTACCTATTAGGCTAAGGATGCATATAAGGAACGCCCATTGCGTATTTATTATTCGACTAGCCGTACTCGTCCGCTTCGCTGGGCATTTAAAATTAACATTATTATTTATTGTCATTATTATTTGGGAATCCAACACTCATTTAAATATTAGCCTATCCATTAAGTACATGTATTCTCTACATGGATACCAAGTTTCAAGTCAATCGGATGCACGGTTCAGTAGTTATAACGGAACATCCGTAAAAACGACTGTAGATTTATTAGTATAGATTATAATAAAATTAGTTAATTTTGATTAATGACCCCCAATGCCAGATCAAAAAGATTAAAAGACCAAATTGACCTTGCTTGCAGAATAAAGGAAGCTACCTCCATATAATTTTCTATTAAATCTATACAAATACAACATACATTATTCTTATCCTTGAGTAGGCAATCTGATCGTATTGAACTAGTCTCTAATCATCTCGTAAATTGATCATCACTTCGGTAATAGACTGATTACTTGTTCGTGTTAATACCAAGAGTTAGGACTATGGTGGATATTATAATGGATGTTATTATTCTTAGAGCATGTATTTCTGATCATTGGGCATTAGTTGTTTGGTTTCTGTGGCGGTAGCCGTCATACAACGCAAGATATTTGACAGATGCCTGAATCTCGCTTACGACATTTTCAAGTTAAGCTCGCATATATACAAGTTTCGAACAACAACATTGGACCGTCGGTCTACCGAGCAAATATCACCCGCGCGGTGGAAGATCTTCCTTTCGTCGTATATCTACAAACTAAATCTTTTGAACTAAAAGTTTTGGCCATAAAAAAAAACAGTGTCATATCATAAATTGCTTAGTTAGCCTAGCCCTGAGTCCTAATTTCTGAGTGATGCACAATTATTGGTGCCTTGCTATATCGACAAAATGGGGGTACTAAAATGAATATGTTCACAGACCTGTCAATACACGATATAATTCTCTCGTCATTTTTTTTATTTTTTTATTATTGCATTGTCGGGTGGACGAGCTCACGGCCCTCCTGGTGTAAATTGGTTACCGGAGCCCATAGACATCTACGACGTAAATGCGCCACCCACCTTGAGATATGAGTTCAAGGTTTCAGTATAGTTACAACGGCTGCACCGCCCTTCAAACCGAAACGCATTGCTGCTTCACGGCAGAAATAGGCAGGGTGTTGGTATCTACCCGTGCGAACTCACACGACGTCTTACCACCACTGAAGTATCCTGAAGATAGTTTTTAAGTGTGCTTTGTAATTAGCAATCTAGCTTCATAATGATGAATATCATTGGTTTATAGACCTTAACATTACCGCGTAAGCCATTGACCAAATTACTTTAATAAATCTTGTAACTTGGCAATTATAGGCATAGACAACGCGACCTGCACATTCGGGAACTTGGTATCGTTCAAGAAAGGCGCTAAACCACGTCATCTCGACATAAGGATGGAGCTGCGCGTGTTGCTGGTCGATTCGCGGGTGTCCAGAGAAACGAGGACCCTGGTCGTTCGTGTGGCGGCCCTAAGGCAAAGGAACACGGCCGCCGTGGACCACATCATGGAGGCCTGTGAACACGTTGCGCACACTGCCACTCAGGTAATACATCCTTCATTGTTAAATTTCAGGGTATATAACAACAACAACTACTACTCAAATCAGTGAATACTTGTCGCGGGAACGCGAGGAGTGAAGTTGTGTGAATTGTATTATTTTGTCTATTTAGTGTTTCTTCAGGTTTAAATGTGTTATAACGGTGGTTTATTAACTGTTTAGTATCTTTTATTTTTATTTTTATGATTGATGGATTACTAGTGGCCTGGAGGCCTTTCCAGTATTATCAGGACAGGTGGGCGAGAAAAGGCTCAATCAGAAGGGGGGGAATGTGCTAACAGCTGCCCGAGCGCCTCCGAAGGAGACCTAACAGCTCAAGAGCAGCTGCTTCGCGAATGTGTTTAGTATCTGTGAAAGTGCACAAATGTGGGAAAATGAAACAAAGCCGCTGGACGTTACATCTCGGGATCCTCCAAAAAGCCGTGTGGAGTCGGAAGTCGTCGTAGCCTAAAGGATAGGACGTCCGGTGCATTGGTATATAGCGATGCAACGGTGTTCGAATACCGCAGGCGGGTACCAATTTTTCTAATATTATATAATACGTACTTAACAAATATTCACGATTGACTTCCACGGTGAAGGAATAACATCGTGTAATAAAAATCAAACCCGCAAAATTATAATTTGCGTAATTACTGGTGGTAGGACCTCTTGTGACTCCGCACGGGTAGGTACCACGGCTCCGCCTATTTCCGCCGTGAAGCAGTAATGCGTTTCGGTTTGAAGGGTGGAGCAGCCGTTGTAACTATACTGAGACCTTAGAGCTTATATCTCAAAGTGTGTGGCGCATTTACTTTGTAGATGTCTATGGGTTCCAGTAACCGCTTAACACCAGGTTGGCTGTGAGCTCGTCCACACATCTAGGCAATAAAATTAAAAAAAAGTCAACTTAAAAAGTATCAGTAAATAATCACCATTTTACCGAGATTATGTTTCATCTCATATCATCTTTCGTTTTTGGATTTCGTAAGGATTGCAGATTAAGCCACATCAATTCTTAATATGTGTTAAGTGTGATGAAACTCTCTGATGAGTAAAGTGTCATTTTGACTGTTTTTTGTTACAGGTTTTAGAGAAACTTTCCAGCGGCAAGTGTGACCCCGATACGGAGGCGGACTATCAACATTTATCAGTAAGTTTCAATTATTATCTCTAGTTTTTTTTTATTGCCCTTGTAGGCGGACGAGCATGCGGCCCACCTGTTGGTAAGTGGTTGCCGTCGCTCATGGACTGGAGCAATGCCAGGGGTGTAGGCAATCCGCTGCCTACGGTTTGGTTTGTGTTGGTTATTTATTCAACCGTGAGGGAACTATGTAATTGCTTGTGCATTTAGCATTTCTTGCAGTAGCTTTGCTATCCTTAAAGTCCAACATTTAAACCAAAGAAATGAAAATTCATAACTATAAAATTCTATGAAAATATTATAGTAGGAAAGGCAAAGACTAAAAAAATCAAAGAAAAAGTTGAGAATTCATAATTCTTATAAAATTCTCTGAAAATTGTAGATTAGTATAGAGAAAGTGTAAAACAAAAACAGATTGACTAAAAGGTCGAGTTACAAAGCCGCCGTAATCCCCAAAAATGTTTTAAATAGTGAATTAAAAAAAAAATTGCTTCGATGCGTGGACGAGTTCACGGCCCACATGGTGTTAAATGGGTACTGGAGCTCATAGACATCTACAATGTAAATGCTGCCACCTAACTTCGAGGAGTTCTAAGGTCTCAGTGTAATTACAACGGCTACCCCGCCCTTGAAACCGGAACGCATTACTGCTTCACGGCAGAAATAGGCAGGGTGGTGGTACCTACCCGTGCGGACCCACAAGACGTCCTATCACCAGTAAAAAATGTATATTTCAGGAGCTTTGGGACATGAACCACTGTCTGCTGTCGGCTCTGGGCGTGTCTCATCCTTCGCTCGAGGTGATCCGAGCTGCAGCCAAGAGCAAGGGGCTCGCGTGCAAGCTCACCGGAGCCGGAGGTGGAGGGTCAGTATTCTATTCACTTCGATAAAGCGGCACGACACGAGAACCCTCTCATCGTGGCCGCCGGTAACTACATTCCCGATCCTGCGGACAGAATGGAAAGCAGTCGACGTCGCCCAAACACGTCATTTCGGATCCTCCCGATCCATTAACGGTGCTTTTAGGTACCACAAGCACTGGTCATCGTTCTCGTCGAACCCGTCGCTTGCGACGAAGGGCTCGACGAGTAAATTAACCAGATCTTCTCAGTGGGTCGCGTGTCCGATCCGGTGGTAGATTCTACGAAGCACGGCTCTTGCTAGGGTTCGTGTTAGCAACGTCGTCAGGTTTGAGCCCCGTGAGCTCACCTACTAGTTAAGGTTCCGCTGATATAGCCTCTCAAGGCTATCAGCTTAGGTAAGAAAAAAGAAAAAAAAAATTGCTTAGATGGGTGGACGAGCTCACAGCCCACCTGGTGCTAAGTGGTTACTGGAGCCCATAGACATCCACAACGTAAATGCGCCACCCACCTTGAGATATAAGTTCTAAGGTCTCAAGTATAGTTATTATATCTAACTAACTAAATATCTATTGTATAAATGCATAGAAACTCACGTGCGATAGAAATCTCAATAATGTTTAATACATCCATGCGTGAACTAGCTCATGACGCTCATGGTATAGACGTACCGGAATCCATAGATGTTACAATGTGAACTCCGTCATCTACCTCGGGACATGAGGTCGACATCTCAACTGTATTGTGTAACGTTGGCTCCACACTTCAAATCTTAATTTTGTAGGCAGCAGCTTGGCTCTGCTCTTGGCATTGCTGAAGTCCATGGGCGACGGTAACCACTTACCATAAGGTCTTCCTACAAAGGCAATAAAAAACAATTCAATGTCAGCTCGAACAGTGACGCGAGCCTTTTCGTGACGGCTGCTGATTAAAGCCCAGAGTCTAGAGCATCTAGCGTCCATCCCCATTCGTCCCCATCCGTCCACGCCCCAGATCCATCCTTATGAATCTAAGCCCATCCCCAGTATCAGCTCGCCAAGCTTCTCTTGAATTGATAGACTCTTCAGCAGCTGTTAACAAACCGAACTCTCGTTCTGGACAGGCTTCCAGGCCACCAGAAATCCCTTTTGAAACGCAGGACACGTGGTGTTATTTCTTCATCGTGAAAGAAGTTATTTTGCACGTATGTAATTAGAAAAAAAAAATCTACCAATTTATTGAACCGCGTTATATATTCAAATGTGGGAAAATGAAACAAAGCCGCTTAACGTAACTTCTCGGGATCCTCCAAAAAGTCCACTGAAAAAATCTCAGTAAATGACCACTATTTTACTGACATTATATTTCATCCCATATCATCTCATTTCATTTCATTTCATTTCATTTCATTTCATGCCATGTTTCATTTTAATCAACTTCATTTCATTTCATAACATCATTTTTCATATAAAAAATATATAAAAGATTCGGCTGTATGGTATGATACCTTTGCCTTTCTAGTTGGAAAAATAAAACTACTTCTGAACCCTGCTATAGTCCCATCACTTTAATATATCAGCATATCATCCTCGATGTCACAGATATTTAAAAAAAATGATTAAGTATTAGCTGACCGAGAGCCCGTTGTATCGATTAATAACTCCCAAGTCAACATCACTAACATTTTTTTTAAGAAATTTAATGACTGCTCTTTTCTTTTTCAGATACGCCATGATCTTAATTCCACCATCGACTCCTCGTTCGACGATAGACTCGCTGTCCGGCCAGCTGCTGCAGAACGGTTTCCGGGTCACGGAGACGAGGCTCGGTGGACCGGGCGTCTCCATAGAGATGTGACCAAAGACAAACAAGAGACAACGGGTCTCATAGCGCACGGACAGTTTGTGAAAAGAAATAAACAAGTGTCAACTCACTGTCATGCGGTGACAGTGACAGTTGAGATGGTAGATGAGTTTATTGAGGTCTTTTTTTGAGATATTACCGATAGTAAGATGTAAAAATATCTCACTCGCCTGCCTTCCTTTATTTAATAAGAAGTTAGAGTATAATATCTCTAAACTTAATGGTTAAAGTCTGATGCTAACAAATTATCATTGTTAAAACAATTGATTGTAATCGTATGATAATCGATATTATTCGAATTGTGACTTAGAAAGCATCGGTGATGTACTACTAGTGAAGTGAATATCGATCAATCGATTATTCTTTTATCGGTATTCGAATACTATTTACTTAACACTATTAAAAGATTTCTTTCAGACGAATGTAAATCCCAGTGTATTGTGATTTTTTTATTTATATCAGGACATTTGTGGGAGAGGCCAAAGTTGTTTGGTTTACAAGGTTTTGGGTCCCAGTTGATACCGTAATGAGCTACATAAGTTTTTGCTTACGGTAAATTCTATCTAGGTATGTTTTTGTTTTAAGATATTATTTCCAATGAAAGTATATAGGAAAATTTAGTATTAGAATTAGAATTTTAATAATTTGTTTCGAACGTGGCAATCTGGGTTTTTTATAGCTAGAAGACTACATTTTCATGTGCTCCTTGGCTAGTACTGTAAAAAAATACATACTGAACCTTATAAAAAACTGTATTAACTGATATCGGGTGTAAGTAAACTAGAGTGGCCCACTTAATAGTCAGTGGTTTCCAAATCATATTTTCCGAAATCATAGATACTAAATGTTAAATGTCGTCATCCACTTTTGAAGCACACTATACAATTATCAATTTTATTATATACTTACTGTATGTCCCACCGTTGAGATCGGATCGCATCAGCCGTCTCGTGGCAGTATTAGGATCAAGATGGAGCTTTAGCGCCCTCTTAATTTTATTTTCATCAAAAATGTGTCTACGCCCTTAACAAAAACGTAACGTTTTAGTTAATATATATGTCACGGGTGAAAATTTACAAAAATCCCGTATAAAATTATTAACAGAGACGTGAAATATAGCCAGAGTTTGGATGACCCACAAATGAATGTAAATAAAGAATAATTATGTTTTCAGTTAATTCTTTTTGGTCCTAATTTATTCGAGATATGGACCAAATACCTAACTGAATACAAAAATGTAATTTTATTTTTGGGAATTTAATAATTGTGTATTCTAAAGGAACATAGTGCCCATTGACCGATATCTCGTATAAACCGAATTGCCGTCTTAGTAAATACTTGTGTGGTATGTTTGTATATCAATTCCTGTGCTATTTAACGAGATGAGGGTGAAATGATTTAGTCCAACTGTCAAATTTTTTGTGACTTTTATTCTTTTGACATTGACAGCTTGAGAATTGTTTTTGTTTAAATATAGAGCTATGGGTATTATCACATTGGTCATAGCTTTATGGCTTTTAATGTTTTATAGTTTAAATTAAATAAAATATGCGTATTTAATGTACGATGTTCGTATGTGTCTTTTTAATCTTGAACTGTCAATGATATAGGAATCGATGCCACTCGAATTAGTTAAATTATTTTGTATTTAAAGCGTATGTGTGACAGGGTCGGTGGCTAATGAAAGCTATTATTAATAAATAATTGTTGTGTTAAAAAAAATACGTACGAATGACGTCTTAAATATTATTATGCATTTCATTTTAATTTATTTATTTCGTTTTTGAACGTTTGTTTACGCACAAAATTAATATTACTTAGTAAATTTTTTTTTTATTTTAAAATTTGCATGACTTGGAGATGGTTAATTTTTTTTTTTAGAAACACCGTACCAATCGTTGCCAGATTTCAGTATCGACAGAAAATAAAACAGATCAAAATTCATTGGGTTATGACAGGAGTTGTCAGCTGTCAATTTTGACATGTCACTACTGAAGTCAGCCATCGTTTGAGTACAAAATACATTCCCGCGTTAAATAGAATTATGAATATTATTTTTAGAGAGTGTTGTAGCTAGATTAAATCAAAAATATGTTAAATGATTCGGCAAAGGTGTTTTTCTTTTGTCTTTTAGAAATACTTAAATTTTGTCTAAATTTTGTACTGAAAAATATATCATTTCCTTAATTAGTAATTTTTTTTGTTTGTTTTTTATTTATTGTTTTTAATAAAAATCCTTGATATTGTTTTCATTAGAAAGCAGAGATATACCCACTGTGTTTTAGTATATGTGCTGCTAATGTCTTCATTGAACCATTTCAGTCGAGAAAAAATTAAAAAAAACAACCTCTATTAAAGTTTAAATTTGTTTATATTGGTTTAAAATTTTCGGCACTATCATGTATCGCATTCTTCAGGAATTCTTATATTATGATTAATTCGTTCCTGTTCTGTATTTAATTAATATAAAATTTTTATTTACATTTATTTCTTAACCAACCAGACAAAAAAAAAAATATGTAGAAAAAAATTATTAAAAACTTACAAATTTTGCGTTTTCAAATATAACGTAATTATTGCAATAAACAATAGGGCATTAAATTAAAAATTGCCTATTGTTTTATAATTTTATAATAGATTTTATAATGTTATGTACATACATATATGTATTACACAATTAATGTTTTACTTTTTAATTATTTTAAAATATCAAAATAATTAAGTCAATTTAATTTTATAATTAATACACCATTAGAATTTAATCACCGAAAATAGGCATTATATATATAAAAAAAAGGATTATTAAGTTATTAGAGATCCTTCTTAAAATCATGGACACATTGTGTCATGTGTTATACAATTTAGGAGCAAAACTAGAGTGTGCGTTTAATTAAACTTCACATATATAATTAATCGCTTCTGCTGTGAAGGTCATTGGCCTAGTGGCTGTAGTGTTCACAGAACGAAGAGATACGGTTTTGATTTCAATTGAGAGTCGTAATATTTGTAAGGATGTATGTTTAGTTGAAGATTTATGGTTTTTTCTTTCTTTATCTATTCGCTGGTAGCCTAAGGGGCTATTTCAAACTTCGCTCGAACCCACAAGCTCAATCTGAGAGAATTTGCTAACACTAGCCCTAGCAAGAGCAGTGCTTCGCTGAATCTACCACCGGATCGGAAAACTTGTGCAAAGTAGAATGTTACATATAAATAAAAATGAATTGCTGTTCGTTAGTCTCGCTAAAACTCGAGAACGGCTGGACCGATTTGGCTAATTTTGGTCTTAAATTATTTGTGGAAGTCCAGAGAAGGTTTATAAGGTAGATAAATATGAAATGCTTGGAATTAAATAAAAATAGCAATTTTGTTTTCCCTTTGATGTGTCCCGCGTCGGACGGATTCCTTTTGTTTGTTTTTAGTTTATTTTATATAAAAGTTTAGGTCTTTTATTTATCGATTGAGGCACTACGAAGTCTGCCGGGGTCAGCTAGTGTTACATATAAACATTTGCCCACTGAGTTTCTCGCCGGATCTTCTCAGATTCTGCGCAGCACTGCATTGGCTGGGGCTAGTGTTAGCACCACTCCAGTTAGAGCCGCGTGAGCTCACCTACACGTCAATGAGAAACTGAAATAGCCTCTCAAGGCTATCAGCATAGGTAGGGGGAAAAAAAAAAACATTCGTGTTTCTCTCTCACTTACTAGAGCAACAACCGGCGCGTCACTATTTTAATTAATTATTGAAACCGATTTATGAGGAACTCGTATGACTTCGTTTTACATTTCATACGTAATCGTGTTTGTTTTAAATCCGGATCTATTTAAGGAGGATTTCGAAGGAGAACTATATCGTATAGGGCAGGGGTGAGCAACATATTTAATCAATTGGCCAATTTAAATTTTTTTTTTTTTTGGCGGCCTGCACATATGTTAACTCTTATTAATAATTTACGACAAGTTGAAAAGTGTCCATCTGTAAACAGCAAGTTATAGTTCGAAGACTCACCGAAATAGCGCTAGTGTAGGAAGTAGAAACGATATGAATATAGCAGTTTTAAACAGAGTGAAGTGTGTTAATTATGGCGCTGTTTTCAAAATGTTTCCACTTGCTACTATAGCGCCATCTTCATTGGCTCTCTTTCAGTGGACAATTTCTAATACACTGAGATGGTACTCCTTAGTTCTGCCGTCCATAATTTTGTTAGGTAGACACGCGCGTTTGCTTTCGATTTTCGTATTACATAACTGCAGATGAAATATTTTTTTATTGCTATGTGAACATTGTACGATAATCGTGTGACGATTATTGCTTACGAGCGGTATGCGATTTATCGTCACAGAGTCTACGATATAATCACGTCATCTAAATGAGGCCGTCAGCGCAAAAGTGGCCTAAGCTTACTATATATAGTAAGCATGGAGACAATGAGGTTTGAATTTGCTTTTACACTTCCTCATAGGCGAAAACAAAACGCGCAAAAATAATACTGACAAAGCCATCTGTTATCTGTGGGCGAAACTAGGTATAGGCCGGTTTTGCATCAAAATTTATTATGTTTTAAATAAATTGCAATATTTATAGTAGAACCACGAATATGAAAATATGTAGGATAGGCCACTTTTGTGCTGACGCCCTCAAATGTGATTTTAGTGTTTTATTAATTACAGCGTCGATGGTATGCGATTAAATCCTAGCTTGCGGCCGTTGGAAGTTAAAATTTAATAAAACAATTTACTTTTGTTTTCCTTGTTTGATTATCTTGATTTATTCAGTAACAGAGATGTGTAATTAATGTTTTTTTTTTTACGAAATTAAAATCTAGTGGTGTATAATTAATCTAATCCCGTATTTTCCCACCATTTTTCGATTTTAACGTTTATTTTAATTAATAATATTTGGCCACATCGTTCAGTGACGTATTATTTGTGAACGTATAGTTATGACGTCATGAGTTATCTTACGAAACTAGAATTAGGCAAAGACAATAATTTAATTGCTATACTTACATAATATTATGTATGAGGCGTCATCGACTGCATATATTACGTCTATTTTTTCTCTATGTAAACATTTCATCATTAATTAATTCAAGCCCAGTATTTAAGTTCCAAGGACTTTAAATAAAATAATGTACTGTGTATGTAATGTCTGAGACCAGTATCAGTTAATTAAGAAATGTTTTTTTTTCTATGTTACATAATTATGAATTATTGACTTTTAAATCTAAAAGAATATCGTATTGTATGATATTGTTATAGTTACAATAACGAACACACTATTTTATCTAATAGACGCGTGCGCGATATATAAAGATCTAGATGATGAAAATAAAGATGAATCTAATCTAAGAGTCAAACGAAATGATTTGTTTTAATTCTTGTAATTTTAATAATCGAAGAACCAATATGGCGTCCCAGTTCCCTTAAAGCGTGCTGTAATAATATTTTAGAACGCTGTAACTAGCAATAACGTTGTCTCACTCGCTTTTGTTGTATTATCAATGCACGGAAGCAGGACAAAATTTTGAAATGTTGATTTCTTTAACGCCTTACATTGTTAAGTATTGAATTAGAGAAAAAGTTCATATTTTCTAACACAAACACTGAATATTATATCTTTGATTTTTTTATGTTCGTTAGATATGGGAATCCTTGAATT